AATTATTTATCATAGTATACAATGGATATTGTAAACATTTTTCGACGTTTTGTCGGGTTATCAATTTTTAAAATTTTTAAATATCGTAATTATTTTTGTTATTCATTTTTTACTTAACATGGTTGAAAAATACTAAGATACTGGTATAAATAATAAATTATATCTATTAATTAATTGGCTTTATTATCTATGGATATTGGTATTGAATAAACTAATAATAAATAATCTACTATTATCGAAATCAAAAAATTAAGATGATAACGCTATCGTCCGGCCACAGAATATTCCGTGATCCGCTTAAATCATACACAATAGATAGATCTACGGCTATACCTCATGTGAAACGAGATGTCGTTAATATATCGAGGTGAATGGAGGAGTCACCCCTTCTATGGCTTTTTTTCTTCAAATTTTTTCCACACTAGGAAAAAACAAAAGTTCACTGTAAAATTATATGATATCGTATATCTGATGCAAACAAAAAGAATGTTATCATTCCGAAATAAAACGAATTTTATCATAATATGGCATCAAGATATATGGTGTAAACTGTATACTTAGTACTATTTTGCACTACGATAAAAAAATATTAAATTTTTTTAATTATTATCTTTATATCTACCTACCAATTGCTTTGTAACACAAATTAATAACTAGTTATTGAAAATAATTAATACAATGTCTTTTTTATTGTTATAAAATTTGTAATTTAATAAAATAATTGGGTAATGTATAATACATACTGGGTATTATATAATATAGTAATTCAATTTATTAAACTAAAAACATAGATATTTCATAAACTACACATACCTATATAGGTACAGACATACTGATTTATCCAATACACAACATTCATTATTTTGAATATTATTTACTCTTTTTGGAATTTTCTTTTGATAAATTAGTTTAAATATTAAAATCTTGAATTTTTTAGTTTTATAATATTTTTAATCTCTGATTCTATCCTAAATAAGTAAAACTTATGATTTTTAATAACAGAAATCTATAACAATATAATTTTATGAATTTAAATTTAATTTGTAAGAAAAATATCCTAATATATTTCTTGTATTATTATTATAATAATTTCCCAAAAGAATGGTCCAAATAAAGTTAATACTTTTCTAAATAATGAGTGTTGTGTGTTAAATTAATATTTTGACCTTGTATATTTATATTTTTTAAGGTTTTGTACATAGTTTTGATTCTGCTTTATAATTATTTCCTTGCTTTTCTAGACTTATTAGATTTAAAACTTGGTTGAAAAATTACATCACAATAAAATCAATTCCATGAAGGGTGAGGGGGGGAAAACAATTTTTACTCTTGAACACCACTATGGTCAAAATTATATATATTGACTATGGTCAATAAAAACTTAAAACCTTTATACCTGATGTCAGTTTAACTTATATTAGCTTAGAAGACTTCAGATAAATGCAGTCAAACAGTCCGATTTAAAAGTAAAATTATTTTTTTTCACATTAAATAAATAATAATTAAAATAATGGTAATATAAAAAATAATATAATAATTAATAAAAGTTAAATCTCCAAAATCATTAAAGTTACTATTTTATTAATAATATAACATCTTTTAAAGGTATTGTAACAATTAGTACAATTGTTTAATGTTATCTACAGCTCCACTGGGATTGATCAAGTATTCCTCACATTCTAAAACTAGAAATAGACTAGGAGCCCTAAAGGCCTCAAAACTAGTAAATAAGAGTAAAATATAATACCTGTGTTTTGTTTAATTAATTTACTAATGATAACGTGCTCATGATAAAGATAAATGATAATTTACTTTATCTGTTATTATGTATTTTCTATTTTTTTAATAGTATGACAAAAAATATCATAATTTTTACAGTAGAATTTACAAAGTTATAATAATATGAATATATTTATTAGGTTAAAACATGTGAAAAAACAATGGACAGGGGGTTAAAACACACAAAACCCCTGGCTATGTCACTGAAGATAGATATTTTATAAATATATTCTGAAACAAACTAATGGTGTTACAAATATTTACTAATAATGAATTATTTTAAGTTAATGCAATTTTTTGAAATTTAATAAAATTATTAACAAATTGCTGAATCAATTGATATTATATAGCATCATTGGTAAATATTTATTACACCAATATTTTGTTTCAAAATACATTTATAAAACTACTCTATTGAATTTTGTAAAAGCAATTTTTAATTTTAGTTTAAAAAAAAAAATATGATAAGTAAAAACACCAAAAAAATCACTGACAAAAGCACTTAAAAATATTTAAAATGTATAATTGTTAGAGGGGTTTTAAAGTCCCCCTTTAATAGCTCCAAGTTGTTAAATTAAATTTTTTAACACTAAAAAAATGATTAATACAATTGTGTATGTATTATAAAAAAAAATTACTTTTTATCAATCATATTTTTGGTAGGTTTCAATAAAGGCAATTTTCTTGAAATGTTTGAAAACAATGAGAATTTCATATTTATTTTAGAATATTTTACAATAAAATACAATAAATCTTGTGATATCATAATATGTATATATTTATTGTATAATTATGCTATTAAAAATTTAATACTTAAAAAATACAAAGAGAAATTGATACAAGTGATACAAGCAGGTAAAAACAATTGAATAATATTAACTAAGAAACCAAATTTTACAAGTAACATTAACTTATTATTAAAGGGCTATAACTAAAAATTTGTTTAGTGAGATTGTATTGTGGTGGGGGATTTAATTTTGCAAAACTTACAAATTTTCTTCTTAAAAAAGAAACAATTGATCTGTGCAATGTTGGTTTTAATTTTTGAATTTTGTGATTGTAAAAAAGGTATTCAAGTTTTAACTACTTAAAATTACTAGATTTAAAAAATACAAACTTTTTGTGTATAATGAACTAGTATAGAATTGACATTCAGAAAATATTACTCTAATTATTGAGTTTATTGAGTTAATTTCATAATCAGTTACAATGGTGAGCTAGTTATAGTTTAATAGCAGTCATGTTTTCTATTTAGACATGAACAAATCGAAATGAGTATGAATAATAAATATTTAATAAGAGAAGTTGAAAATATGCAAAAATTAATTTATTAAACTTATCAAAAAAAAAAAAATAAATAAATAATAAATGAAATTTAAATAAGCGACATTTTAAATCATTTCAGAGGGCCTCTCAATACAGTTTTAAGAGTCCCACCATTCTCTGAAATTGCAATAGTCATAATTTCTTAATACTACTTATCAATGACATCTAAATTTGTGAATATAACTCTTACTGTTAAATGATTAGCAGACATTCACAAATACTGTTTGTGAATAAACTAAATAAAAGTTATATTAATGTATTAAATAAATTAAATAATTTATTATAATTCTAAGAATTATTTATAAATTATTCAGATAAAATTACTGTGGAGTTAGAAATCAAATCAAATACATAAAACAGATAAGTATGAGTATTAATTATTTAAATGTCAGTTCTAATAAGCCAAAAAGAATAAAAATAATTAAAAATTAAAAAATTGGGTTTTTAAATTCATAGTTTAAACAAAAATTAGAATATTAAGTTGTCTATAAGATAACAATAATATTTTATAATTAAATTACAATTAGATTCACATGTATTGTTTCTTTTATAGTTCACAGAACATTCCAGACAGAAAAAATTTAGTTTTAACATCAATTATATATTTTAACTAAGTATTAAATATAATTAACTAATATTTGAATTATTTATTATTACATTTTTTTTTTTTTAATGTATATTATAATTAGTATGAATATAATTTTAATTTGAATAGATAAAATAATAATAAAGTCTGATATGACATGTGTATTAAAAATGTATTGAATAAATTCAGATTACATACATATCATACATATACCTATGTATTTGTATACACAGATATATAATAAATAGACAACAAATAATATTAAATTTAAGTAAACATATTAAATAATTAATTTAACAATTTAACCATTTCACTAATGTTCACTAATGAATAATTTCAGGGATAAACTTTGTAAAATAATAACTTTGAAGTAGAAAAATAATATCAAAATAAGGGGTAGGTGATAAATAAATTAAGATTATTCATTTGTTGCCATTTAATGAAGTGGCTTAATAGATACAACAATTTATACATTTTATTATGTATTGGTAATATGCATTTATAAACTACAATATTCTATAGGTACAATTTTATTTTAGAACTACAATATTTATTATGTTTTTTTTTTTTTCAAGAACAAATAAGAAAATGGAAATTAAATGTCCACATTTTACGTGTTATAAATGTTGAATAGTTAAATAGATATTAATATTAATGAAATAATAAAAGATAAAATAATGAAGTTGAATTTAGTTATAATTTCAACTAATAATGAAATAATTAAATATTGAAAACCCAGTATGTATGTAAGTATATAAAATTATATTTAAAGTAATAGGTATGCTATATATATTTTAGACATTATTATAGAGGTAAAATAAAACAATTATTATAACAATAGGAATACAATTTTTTACTTTGCATGGTAGTAATAAATATTAACTAAACAATTAATGGATATTATTAGTTATAGATATATATTAACATATTATGAATGATAATATTCTAGAAAAAACTGAATATAATAATTGTAAATGTGAAATAAAAAGCAAAATTAATTTAATAAAATATATTTGCATGCTAATTAAAATTTTCTAAATATTATAATATGGAAAAATGATTAGTATAAATATTTTTTTTAAATGTAAATTAACTTAAATAAAACTACAGTAATAGCAATATTAAGAAAATAAATCTAACCTCCAAGCACAGCCCATTTTATGGAATCTACATACTGCGCTTTGTAATATATTCTAAATCTTTTATATTATAAATATTATAATATGGAAAAATGATTAGTATAAATATTTGTTTAAATGAAAATTAACTTAAATAAAACTACAGTAATAGCAATAGTAAGAAAATAAATTTAACCACCAAACACAGCCCGTTTTATGGAATCCACATACTGCGCTGGTACCCAATATAACCAGTAATTAGAAGCTTCTGTCTTGTCCAATTGAAAACCCTATAAATAAAATAACAAATAAATATGTTAAAAAACACTTTATTTCTATAAGTTTAATTGAATGCATGAAATTAGATAAAATAATACATTAAAAACAAAAAATAACCACCTATTTAAGTTTGTAACTTTATAGAAATATCTCAATTTATATTTTATTAAAAAATTATTTTATTTATATTTTATTATATTTTATTGCAAATATGCAAACAATCAATGCTGCTTTATGATATGTTTTTTTTATTTTAGCAAAATGTTAAATATATATATATAATGAATGTAAAATTACTTTTTTCAGTTGTATCAAAACTAAAATTATTAATAATAATTTAAAATTACAATAAATTAGTATTTTTTTCTAATAACTTATAAAATATTCCAAAATATGCTAAATATACTAAATATTCTAGTAGTAGAAGTAATAGTAGAAGTCCTATTACATATTTACAATACATGACAAACATTTAATCAAATGATCCTCTTCACAATAAAATACTGAACATATAGTTCTCCTAACATTCATTTCAATACTACTTTTTTTTTTTTTTGGAGCCTAGAATATATAACTAAGTAAAATTTTATTTAGTTAATCAATGAACTATACTTCTTTATTCAAATTTAATAAAAAATTATTTCAAGCTTTGCGGTTTAACATAAAATCAACTGTAAAATATTGTGTATATTAATTATACTCAAAATAAAAAAAAAACACAATTATTTAGAAAATAAATAATTAAATGATGGAAATTACATACTTAAAATTTATTAAAATATGTGTTTGTAGTAATTTTTTTTTTCAATTGAAAATTTACAATAATATTAATATCAATAATGGACAAATCATTATTACTGGAAAACTGTTAACCAGGTGTTGGAATGGGTCAGGCTATCTGAAAAATTTCATTTTCCTAATAGATCATTTTACCCCTGAATGTACTCAGTAATTTACAACATGAAATTAAAATATGCCAATAAAGTAGATTTCACTATCTAATGGGGCAAATTGTAAATACACCATTTTTCCCTAAATCCCAAAAATCCAAAATTCTGTCATAAGTTATAAGGTATATTATACCTTATATATATTTTGGTAAAATATATTCGTCTAAATTAATGGGTTTTTCTAACTAACCATTGTTCTTATTACACAGATTTCACTATGCTTACACTATTAGGTACTTAATTAAAATGCTAATTAAGCTTAATTCATGGGTAAAAGGATAGGTACCTCGTTCTTTTTTTTAATTGTTCAAGAATTTATTGTTTGTAATAATTATTGACACTACAAACATATAAACTAAGAAATTATGTGAACATTTGAAATAGATTTATTATTTATTTTTAGGTTTCTATTTTATAAAACTATTGATAACGTACCATTATATAATACTGTTCATATCCTTCAATCGGTTCACTCACAATATTTTTAATACTAGCCATAGGTAATTTTTGAGTTCGTTCTTTGGTACTTATCCAGAGTTCATCCAATTCAAGTTTAAATGTCAGTCTTACTTTCGCCCCATATTTATCAAGCATTCCACTTAATGGGCGTATTGGTAATGACTCCTAAAACCAAAAAAAATAATATTATTATTTAAAATTTAATTGTTTAAATAATTATGTATCAACAGTTTTAGCTTGTGTATAAGAATCCAGCATTTGAACACAATATTATGTAAAATAAAATATAGCAAACATGATAGGTATTTAAAAAGTAAATATATCTAATAATAAAATGACATCTTAGTTCATAAATTATTTTATCTTTACGTTTTTAAATAATATTTAATGATCATAAACCTACAGTCATCCATATTATTCTTTTAGATAAAATGGTAAAAAGTGATAAAAAGGTGAATAGTATATAAATATAAATATATATGTATATTTATATAACTAAATATATTTTTTTGAAATTAGTAAACTATTGGATAGTAAAATTGATGACACTATTCCTTTTATGTCTAATTAATTTAAAAAAAAATTAATGATAATACTTGGTAATCTAATTATATTTTATCAAATAGTTACCACATTTTTCTTTTAAATTTATTTTCCATCATCAATCTATTTTAGAAATAAATTGTTACCTATAATCTATACTCTACTAATTTAGAAATTATAACTATTTCTTGTTGTAATTTTATAAGAATATAATTAATACTAAAAACAAAATTAATGAATACCATACCTTAATATTTAAAATTCCAATCATTGCATTGTCCGGTATACCTTTTTCCACCATTTTCAAGTGTAATTTTGACTTGCATAATGGTTCTTTAGCAGATGTGCTTGGTTTGGTAGTGCTTGGATCCTATTAGAAAACGCATGAATAGTAGAAAATGCATTGATTAATAATTAACAAAAAAATAGTATAAAAAACCTCATTAACTCTTGCAGCTGCTATTATATCTATTAATCTATTGCCCACTACCATAATCTTGGAGGAAGAATTGATGTTCAACGATTCTAATGTTTGGTCATCTCTTGCTAGACCTTTAACCATGACTTTTTGTACCTGGCTGGACACACCTATGATGTCGAACATTTTGTCTTTCAGTTCCTTTATTGTGGACGACAGCGGCATGGAAACAGTATAATTGGTTTTGTTGTGTGTAACAATAAACTCAATAGGTGCCTCATCATCACCGGTTTCCTTTTTCGGGCCACAAGCTGTAGCCTCTTCGATGTTGTCATCTTTTGGTAAATTATTTGTTTTTAAAATATTAAAGTAAGTATCTAATACAGTATCTCACACAATACAAATTTAATATGTTAAATGGTACATAACTTACCGGCCAATTCCTTTAAGTACTCCATTAGGTATCTACACTTATTGGACAATAAAATAATATTATATGCTTACTAAATTTGAAACGTATTTATGTCTAAGTAAAATTATCAAAAATTAGTTAGTTCGTCAATAATTATTATCATAAAATCGATGTTAAAATGTCCATGTAATAATAATAGTAACTTTTTTTTTATAAATACAACGCGAAAGGAAGTAATTCTATTGGTGAATGATAAAAACCTTTACTTATCAAATCTGTATCCAGTGCAGCAGTTTCATAGATAATAAATATTTATGAACAGATTGAACAGAATTGGCGAAAAATTAATGAATAATTTATTAAGCTAATGTACAAGCTAATGTCTTGTAAAGACCGTTTACAGGATACCATAGAGAATATATAATAAGTAAGGATAAAAGGTTAACTACTTGCCGTTTTATAGTTAATTTTATATTTTTCATTTTTATTTTGTAAATTTGGGCACATATAAAATGGAATACCAACATCTTACATAGAACACATAGAATACCTTGATATACAGAGTGATTCACTAAGCGTGCTCATTTTTTTGATTAAATGTTATTGCATACATTCAAATTTTGATTATCGGAATTTTTAAGTGCAGTTAAAGCCTGTTTATTTCGGAATACTTAGATTTTTCACAACATTTAAGGAGTATCCTGTAGCGATACCAAAATTTTTTCCATTAACCCGTTGACGAGATATTTTAACTTTAAGTTTAGATAGGGGTATAGTAGTAGAATATAATTTTTGTGGTGGCACGGCGCGTGGCATTTTATTAGTTCTCCATTACTAACTGTTCTCCTACTTAAGGATTCTACGATTAGATATACTATTAAGAACGTAATAAGTATGTTTTAATATTGCTTCACTACAACTCTCCCACTAAATTAAATTAAAAGTCAATGGTTTGACAGAAATCAAAAATTTGAACACCAAAGTTTATTTAAATTAATACTCCGTCTATTTATTAAATTTTTAATATAGGTTCTCGTCTGAAAAACCAAAGTTAGCATTGCCACGGGGTCCTTCTTAAATGTTTTAAAAATTCTAATTATTCAAAAATATCGGCTTTAACTACGCTTAAAAATTTAAAAAATAAAATCAGAATTTGAATGTATACAAAATTTAGTGAATCATCCTGTATAATAATATTATTATGTGTTACGTGCACTTACTGATGAAAACTTCCACAGTAAAAACAATTTTTATTCTCGCAAATTTGTTGAGCCTATATTATTCGCCTTTGTAAATAATTATTGATTACTAAACATTTCGTTATCCTTGGGTACTCTAAGATACATAAATTTACAATAGTGATAACAGCATGGCAAATAATGATAAAATCCGGAATATTTGAAAAATATTGAAGTAATTTTTATATAGGTATTTTGAATAGATAATATTATATAGTATAATTGAATAGTATAAAAGGTATAGTTTAAAATAGAAAAGGTTTTAAAAAAATTGTATGTTAATAATCGAAACGGTTTAAAAACGGTCGGTGGGTGATTGTTTATCGCAGTTATTTTTGGATTAATCCAGTTTATATTTTTGTAGATATTTTGTACTCTAATGATACTAAATCGGAAAATATTTCAATCCAAAACGGTCGGTGGTTCGTTATTTACAGAGGTGGAATAAGTAAATCAGATTCTTATAGGGCTGAATTATGGCCTAGACCCAGATCTAAGGAGGAAAAATTAGAAGATCGGCAAATTTGTACCGAACAAAAAAGAAAATTTATTTAAATTTTTTGTAGATCACGTATTACAAATGAGTCTATTGGACAAAGCCGTGCCATGGAGGGGAAATAGAGCCTTTGCCCCGGTCGTAAATTTTAAGGGTCGCCAAAAAATGCATTGAAACAATTTTACAATTTTATTATAAATCACAATATAATTAATTATATAACCTATTATGAGAGGTTTTATTGCAGTTTCCCCGAAAATATAGAAAGCAGCAGCATCGATGTCATTACTTATTAAAATAATATGTATAATAATATGTAGTTATTAATGTTATTATCAAATTTGATTTTAGCAAGATAAGCATTAATCGAAAATTACAGAAAATGTCATATGTATTATTGCGTTAATTTTAAAAGCTAAATAAATAATAATTTATCATACTATTTATTATATGCTATATATTTAAGTATAGTTTTCAAAACATTTGAGATATTTACAGAAAATTATAATTTTGCTAGTTCTTTACGTAATATTTACACGATAGGTACTAAAATCATTGGATCGGTCACTAAGAAAGCCTTTATAACATGTATAACCGAACTCTACTCGGAATAGTTTTTGGTTAGCAATGATTTCCCATTGCTTTCAGATATACATTAAATTCCTGTCTTTATGCTAGAGCAAGATTTAGAAAAGCCGTTTACAGACAAAAGAATAAAAACATATCATAGTAAAATTTAAAAATAAATATATTGTAAGCATAAACTTAGCCTTGCATGGGTTACAGTGTTGTTTTTGTTTTCGTGACTGTATTATGTTTATAAAATGGTACACAAATTTGCGGAAGTAAAGTCCCAAGAGTTAGATTGAGTTCATTAATTCTTATAGTCCCTCTTTTATTTTTCCAATTCGAGCTCTGCTGACTGGTATTGTCTCCTACAAGCTACAAGTTTTCTTCATTCCTTTCCGTTTTCTATTTTCCTTTAATATCCATATTATATTTTAAGACCATTTAATAACATATCTAATATATACATTTCGTTCATAGTCATCCTCTTCCCTTTTTCCCTGAAATAACTTATTAAAAAGTTATTAAATAAATATTTGTATAGGACTATCATGGCTCAAGTAAGGCCTAACCATTGTAATTTTCTCGCTTTTATGATATCTACAATTTTAATGTCTTTTGTTTATTTTTGTTGTATGTTCATGCAACTGTCGAATATTTTTTCATAATCTATGAAAAAAAATATATAGGGATCTGTTTTGTTCTTTCGTTCTCTCTGTCAAACCTTAGTGTTCCTATTGTATCTTGGGATTTCCTGTATTTTTCCCGAACACAACTTTTCCCGATTGCCATTCTTCCCGACTGGAATATATCCCGAATAGTATTTCTTTCTAAACCATATTTCACGAACCTTATTGCCCGAATGGTATTTTTCCCGACTGGTATATTTTTTGACTAGTATATTTCGCGAACGGTGACTTCGTGTATGTGCGGTTTAAATTACTTGTTAATGGGAAAACATACTGGGAGTGCAAAAAAGTACGTGGTAAACTGTGTAAAGCCAGAACCGTCAAACAACTTCTGAACAAAAAATAAACTTCGTACGAGAACAAATCCTTAAGACAATAATCATTAATCATGATTAATCACTTAAATAACTTGAAAAACATAAAACAGATTTATTTTATAGTTTTAAGATAACCCAATCTTCAACATAGACGAGTACATGTAGTTTATATGTACATTTTTCAATGTATACCTCATACCTATATTTATATATTTTACACCCAAGCCCTTCTTAGTGAGTAATATTTAAGAATTTTAATTTTTTGACTAAAAAGATTTGTTTACGTCTTAGCTTCATATACAATATGGATTCCGAGCTGAGGAAAGAATGTATTCGTTTTATAATGATGATTGGTATTTGGTGGTGTTTGAAATGAAGTATTTAAAAACATCGAGGTCGACCTAAAATCTATTTATAATTGGTTAAGCGATAGCAGTCTATTTCTAAATTTCAATAAATCGACCATTTTACTCTACTCACTATCTGAACAAATTTTACCAATCATACACAACACAAAAGTCCACGAGTCTAACTGAAAAATTTCGCTAATGACAACACCCTACACAATGTATCCATCCTATACAAAACATTTGGCTGGAGCATTAAATTAATAGCTGGTATTTTTTCAAACATAACGCATTATCTAATGTACAAGNTTAACGTTTTGGCCTTAAAACTGATTAATATTGATTGAAAGATCTTTCAACCTTGACTGATGTTATGTTTATTTTGGTGAATACATCATATAATCGAAACTATGTTAATTAATAATATTAATTGGTATTATATCTGGTAAATTTAACTAAATACATTTCAAGTATGAGCTATTTTAAGATAAACTCATGAAAATTAACTGATTTAATTTGAAATTATTGCAAAAAATATCAAAGTATTGTAATGATATATACAATATGGTATATATCATAATATAATATTATATAACATTAATATTATCTACACTACATTTTATTATAGTGGACACCACTTAATTTTATTAGTTTATAAGTCAATTTAGATTAATACAAATAGTATGTATAATAGTTAAATATCTCATATAATAATAAAACATGGTAATGAGAACCGGACAACACCACTCCACCATTTTCCCCTTTCTTTCTCATAAGAGACTCCTCGATTCATTCGGCCACCGGATCCTGCCTTGGCGACTCATCATCTTTTTCGTCTTCCCGCGAGTGCGTGTTGTTCCGGCTTCTAACATTCCGATATCGTAATTTTTAATTTATTCAAGTGTTTATTTTATCATTTCTACTACCTATTTTCATCAACATAATAAATAAATACAATTATACCTGTATCCAAACTCAACATTGTTGCTGAGGATACTCCGTTCAGGATAGGTAAGTATATTATTGTTGTCCTTCATAGTGTATATCTTATGTTAATTGTTTCTTACCGCCGTAGGCTGCAATAAGTAATCTAAGTAATTAGTGGGTATACATTCATTTATTTTGTACCCCTATATTCACTTTAATACAATACAATTGAATGTTATGATAGTAATTCGGTTAGCGTTGTCATAGTATAGGTCAGTGTGTCCCAATCTTTTTTTACCCGATGCTCTTTTTAGATTTTCGAAAACGCATACCATCTCTCCACCACAATAAATAAAAAAAAAACTTATAGTTTAATTTTTATAATCAGTAATTTAATTAAAATTAAAAACAAATATTTTCTATACTTTTTGTTCTTGGACATTTTATTATTTTTATTACGAATAA